CCTCTTATATTTTCCTGGATAGAGCTGGAACCCATTCTACTAAGTGAAGTATCCCAAGAATGGAAAAATAAGCACCACATGTACTCACCAGTCTTTATTTCTTTGAAAATTTTTTTCTGTATCTTTCTTTCCTACATCTCCTTCTGGTTCTCCCATTTACACATATGTGTGCTTAACGGTGTGCTGCGTTTCTCTGAGGCTTATTTTTCTTCATTCTTTTTTCTCTCTGTTCCACAGATCACACAGTGTCCTTCATGTTTGCTAATTCTTTTTTTCTTTGCTAGCTGTCAAATCTGTTTTCCTAGCTTCTAGTAAATTCTTCATTTTGCTTATTGTAAGTTTTCTACTCCACGTCTTGGTTCACATTCTAGACTCCTGCTATTCTTTCTTAATTTTAGTAGATTTCCTTGATTAGATGTCTCTTCATTTGCTATATGTCCTTAGGACCACTTCCAGAGATGTTAATGGCTATTTTTATATAATTTTCACCACTTTTTACTGGAGAGTGCGTTCATGGAACTCCTTACGCTGTTATGCCAGAAGTTGACACCTCTCTCAGAGCACTCTTATTCTTTGCCAGGTCACAAAAGAAGACAAGTCCTTCCAGAATATTATGCGTTGTTATAGGACTCAGCCACAGGCCCAGAGCCAGGTAACTGCATTTTCTTTCAGGGCTGAAAATAAAGCTTAAAGTCTGTGATAAATACAAAAAATTAACCATAGTTGATTCTGTGGCCTTTTTTCCAGGATAAACAACTAAGACTACTTTACGGGAAGTCTCTGCTTTAATCTTCTTTTGTCACTGACGGACAGCTTCACATGTTGATTATTTTAAGTCCTCTTTTCCTCAGAAGGCAACAACATGAAATATTTGATTGCTTTCTTAATTCAGAGTATAACAAGATATTAATAGATATTAATACCTATTAATAGATATGAATTAAGAAGTTATTTGGTTTCTATCTCACCTTTCAATCTAGATTAGAAAATTTAAAACTCACTTTACCTTTAATACCATTCGTTTGTCTCAGAGACAAGTATGTCAGATCATGGTATCTGACTTAGAATGACTTGATTTTATGGCTGGGTACTGTTATTGCTGTGTAGTATAGTAGGCAGTACTTGGAATTTGAAGACATACAGCAGGCTCCAGTGTAAATCCTGGATCTGTTTTTTAATAACTATGTGACCTTGGCCGCATTTCTTAACCTCTTCTGAGGAAGATAACTTACTACATGGGGTTGTGAGAAGCAAGGAACATATGTCAAGGTCCTATTGTCTAGGGTATACTCAGTAAATACTAGTTTTATGTCCCCTTTTCACTGTCTCTCTAAAGGTGTATAGAAGTGTTTTGATAAAAGGGAAAAGAAAAAGAAGAAATTCTGGCAGCAGTGATAGCAGAAGCCATCAGAATTCTCCAACAGAACTAAACAAAGATAGAAGTAAGTCGGAACTATCTTTATGAACTCTGACAAAACAAAATTAGCAGCTTTTCTTATTTTTTAGTCCTGGAAGACTAAGGATTACTAAATGAAATAACTACTATAGAAACTGTCAAAGTGTTGTACTGACGAAGGGTTTGTTGGAACAATATACCAATTCTAAATTTAGTGGCAAAGTTGTCAGTGCATAACGTTTCAGGCAGGAATCTGCTCGCCTGAGTTCCATTATTGTCAGCTGGAGCCATGCAAAGGAAATGCCATCCCTAATGGCTGGTTTGCGCTGCTTACTGCAGGGCTCAGGTCCTGGAAAACTTGGTGTAACTAATTAATGGAAACTACTCCGTAAGCCCTTGGTATGGTTATGGAATGGGGGTGAAGTTGTTAATATCCTATCTGAGCTTTGTTCCTTAGTATAAGGAATAGAGTTCCCATTTACTGTCATTAACAAATCGTGCAGGTAGCTGTTCATTTTTCCTACTGGATTTTCTTTTTTAAAACAAGCTCTACTAGCAGCCTTTGTGGTTAACAGCCTTTGTTCTACCTCGTGCAGCAAGTAGAGACTCCAGTCCTGTCATGAGGTCAAGCAGCACCTTGCCGGTGCCACAGCCTAGCAGTGCCCCTCCTACACCTACTCGCCTCACAGGTGCCAACAGCGACATGGAAGAAGAGGAGAGGGGAGACCTTATTCAGTTCTACAACAACATCTACATAAAACAAATTAAAACATTTGCCTTGAAGTACTCACAGGCAAACATGGTAAGTCTGACAGGGATTACTTCATTCTTTTTTCACTTGTCAGGGATGGGGAATCATTTGTGTTACCTGTTCCATATATAAACTAGTTTCACAAATAATCCCTTTAAGTAAAACTGAGGAAGTCTGTAACAGAATTTGCCTAACCAACATAATTTCTATGTTGTTAAGCGTTAAACAACGGAAAGACGGTATTTAGAGTCCCTGCAAAGTACAATAGTATAAGAGACAGGCTACATAGGTTCCAGTTGTCCACTATTTAACAGTGGTGGTGACCACGCAAGTCATTTGACTTTCTGTCTCTTGTTTCCTCAGATGTAAAGTGGGAATGGAAGTAGTTCTCAGTTTATAGGGTTTTTGTGAGGATGAAGTGACATAATGTATAAAAAATGCTCGTAACAGTGACTGGCACAAACTAAGCACTTAAAAATGTTTTCTACCAGAATGATTTTCTTTAAGTTTAATTGTTGCTAATACATCACTGTTTATCATTCATAAAACTACAGGTTTATTATATTATACCTCTTCACTCAAAAGTATCTGTTTAGAAATTTTTTTTCTTAGAAGTACTAATTTTTTGTTTTTTAAACAGATGGATGCTCCTCCACTCTCTCCCTACCCATTTGTAAGAACAGGCTCCCCTCGCCGAATACAGTTGTCTCAAAATCATCCTGTCTACATTTCCCCACATAAAAATGAAACAATGCTTTCTCCTCGAGAAAAGATTTTCTACTACTTCAGCAACAGTCCTTCAAAGGTGAGCCTAACATAAATCTTGGCCTTTACTAAACCCTAAAATACTTAGGATACTAGAAACAGGGTTGGTGCCAAGCCTAGGCATTCACTAGAGTGATGGGAACTGCAGGAACAGTGACTGGTAAGTCCCAATAGAGCAAAACCCAAGGTTTGGTTTGATTTGGTTTTTGCTTTAGAGAATATTAGGATTGGAGATAGGCAAGGGACTTGGATTTATTTTTATTCCTTCTTTCCTTTTTGTACATTTTGTACATTCTGCCATAAGTTGGGAAGTTTGTGTTTATTCCATTTGTGAAGTTTTAATTTCTGAAATCTGTTAGGGAAAGAAACTTTGCACCCCTAAACTGATTACCAAGGGACTATTTCTGGGGAAGTTCATACCCTTTGTCCAATCTTTTTAAAATTTTTGTAGAGATTGGGGGGTCTCACGATGTTGCCCAGGCTGGTCTCGAACTCCTGGCCACAAGTCTATTTCTGTAACAGGTGGTCTCTCTGTCCTCTTTGACTAGGGGGAGAAATGGACATTTTGGACAGTGCAGTGTGATAGTCATATTAGCACAGGTTTATGTGGTAGCATCTGCCTCAGTTTGAGAAGGAGAAGGAAGCTTGAGTTAACCGTTAATGGTGAAGCCTTAGAAAGCTGCTGCGAGGTGTGGAAGGGCATTCAGGAAGCAGCAGATAAGGGGAAGGAAACAATGTTCCTGAGGCAGATGCAGTGACCACAGTCAGATCAGTGGGCATCATGCTGTTAGGGGAACTAGACCTGGAAGGCCTTTATGTAATGAAGTTTTTATTTATAAAGATTGCTTAGAAATAACCATTATACATGACAAACGGCCTGGACTCTTTTAAAAACAAAAGTCAGTATCATGAAAAAAATAGTAGAGGGTGAGGAGAGTATTACTAAAGGCAACTAAAGAGACATGACAACCAAATGCAATGTATGACTTTTGATTGGATCCTGCGCAGAAAATCACCACTATAAAGGACAATTAGGAAAATTTGAATGTGGCCTTCAATGTATTACTTATATTTCTTTGGTATTGATGATGCTACATCATGTAGGAGACTATGCTTAAAGTATTCAGAGGTGAAAGGTCCCAGTATTAGCAACTTACTTTCAAATGGGTCCACTACAATGGATAGATATGACAGAGCAAATATGGTGAAATGTTAAATGGGTGTTTAATGTACTATTCTTTCACTGCTTCTGTGGGCTTGACATCTTTGAAAAAGTTGAGGAAAACAAAGAGCAGCAAAAATCTATTAGAAAATGTAATGGGAAACTTTTCCTATCATAGTAAAAAAAGGCATCATATGCCTTGGAATAAATTTATAACTTGTTTGAAAAATTACTAGAATTTGAGATTTTTAAAAACTGGAATAGGCCAGGTGTGGTGGCTCACGCCTGTAATCCTAACTCTCTGGGAGGCCGAGGCGGGTGGATTGTTCGAGACCAGCCTGAGCAAGAGCGAGACCCCGTCTCTACCAAAAATAGAAAGAAATTAATTGGACAGCTAAAAATATATAGAAAAAATTAGCTGGGCATGGTGGCGCGTGCCTGTAGTCCCAGCTATTTGGGAGGCTGAGGCAGGAGGATCGCTTGAGCCCAGGAGTTTGAGGTTGCTGTGAGCTAGGATGATGCCATGGCACTCTAGCCCGGGCAACATAGTGAGACTCTGTCCCGAAAAAAAAAACTGGAATAAGTGAAGATACACCAATCTTTCTGAATAGGAAGACCAAATCTTAAAGAGATAATTTCCTCCAACTATTACATAGTTTAAGTTTAGCCTAATTTCAATGATAGTTCTAGTAGGATTGTTTGTGAAACCTAGAAACAGATTGGCAAAGGTAGCCCCAAAAAGCAATTGGAGTTGGAGGAAATGATTCTGAGAGGTCCTCTAAAATTAGACTCTCATCCTATAACCAAATAAATTCTAAATGGATTGAAGAGTTAAATGGAAAAAAGGAATCATAAAACTATCAGGTAAATATACATTGTAGCTTGTCTGATCATAGAGTTAAGAAAAGACTTTCTAAATAGAATAATATATAGGTAATACACAAAAGAAGATGAATTGGAATCATAATGCTCAGTTCAAAAGAAGGCTAAAAAAGGAAGAACATAGAAAATAGCAATTAAATTTAAATGGTTAAATATCCCAATTAAAAAGCAGAAACTGTCCAATTGGGCAAAAAAGCAAAACCAAACCATATGCAGCTTATAAGTAACTTACTTTAAATGTAAGTAAGTTTAAAATAAAAGGATGACAACGTCCTGTCCATTTACTGATAAATGTATATCCATAAATGGAAAATTACTTGGCAATAAAAGACTGAAGGACTGATACATGATACACCTTGAAAACGTTAAGTGAAAGAACCCAGTAATAAAACTGTATGATTCCATTTATATGAAATGTCCCAAATGTGCAAATATATAGAGGCAGAAAGTAGATTAATGGTTGCCTAGGGTTTGGGGGAATATACGGTTTCTTTCCTGGGTGATGAGTGTGGTGATGGTTGCACAACTCATGGAGTTGTATATTTTAAATGGGTGGATTATATGGTGTGTGAATTTTATCTCAAAGGTGAAAGGACGGAAAAAGTTATACCATGCTATCACTAATCAAAAGAAAGCTGAAGTGATACTAATATTAGAGAAAGTAGATTTCAGAGCAAAAAATATTACCAGTGATAAAGAGGGTCATTTCCTAACAATAGAGAGGACACATAATCCTAAATAGAAAAAAAAAGTCAGATTTCAACATAATTGATAGAACATGGAGAGAAAATCAGTAAGGACACAGAAGATGTAAACACTGTCAACCGAGGCCGAGGTGGGCGGATTGTTTGAGCTCAAGAGTTCAAAACCAGCCTGAGCAAGAGCGAGACCCCGTCTCTACTAAAAATAGAAAGAAATTAATCGGACAACTAAAAATATATAGAAAAAAATTAGCCAGGCATGGTGGTGCATGCCTGTAGTCCCAGCTACTCGGGAGCCTGAGGCAGAAGGATTGCTTGAGCCCAGGAGTGTGAGGTTGCTGTGAGCTAGGCTGATACCACGGCACTCACTCTAGCCCAGGCAAAAGAGTGAGACTGTCTCAAAAAAAAAAAAAAAAAAAAAAAACCACTGTCAACCAAACTAACTAATCGACATTTAGAAAACACTCCAACAGTATCAAGTGCAGACAGAATATTTACCACGTAGACCACATTCTGGACCATAAAACAAGACTCAATAAATTTTAAAGGGTTCAAAAAAATGTATGTTCACTGATTCTAATGGCATTAAATCAGAAATCAATTAAATCAGAAATCACTAACAATCTAGAAAATCCCCCAATTTTTGGAAATGAAATCACATATTTCAGTGGCTCAAGAAGAAATCACAGGAGAAATTAGAAAGTATTTTGAATTAAATAAAAATGAAACTGAAATATTAAATTTGTGGGATGCAGTTAAAACAGCACTAAGGGAATTTTATAGCACTAGACATCTATATTAAAAAAAGGTCTCAAATTAGTGACCTAAGATGTTAAGAAACTAGAAAAAGAACAGGACCCATTGAAATAGAGAACTGAAAAATAGAGAAAAATCAAGGCAATCACAAGGTTACTTATTCGAAGAAGATTAAAAAGAAAATTGATATACCTCTGTGCAGACTAATCAAGAAAAAGAAATGACACATTATCAATATACATTAAAAGTATAATGAGGGATACAGAACTTAATGCCAGTAAATGAGACAATGCAAATAAAATGGACAAATTCCTTGAAAGACATTAACTAATAAAACTCAAGTAGTAATCTCAATAGCCCGATATCTATTAAAGAAATTGAATTTGTACTTTAAAAACCTCCCCGTAAAGAAAACTGTAGGCCCAGATGACTTCTCTGGTAAATTCTCCCAAATACTTAAGGAAGAAATAATGCAAATTCTATACAAACTCTCCCAAAAAGTGAAGAGGATAAATTATCTCAGTTGAAGGAAAAATTTGACAAAATCATTCACTCAGGTAAAAACTCTCAGGGAACTTGATAGTAAACATTTACCAAAAAATCTACAGATAACGTCATACTAAACGGTGAAAGACTGAATGCATTCCCCCAAGATCAGAAACAAGGCAAGGAAGTCCACTCTCACCACTCCTATTCAACATTGTAACTGGAGGTCTTAGCATATGCAGTATGTCAAGAAAAAGAAGGTATACAGATTTGATAGTCTACACAGAAAAATCACAAATAATCTACAAAAAGTTACTGAAAGCAATATAAGTAAGGAGGGTTACATGCTCAATGTATAAAAATCAAATGCATTTCTATATTCTAGCAATGAACGAGAAGTAAAACACTTTAAAAACACCAGAAACAGCATTAAAAAATTAAATACATAGGGATATGTAAAAGAGGTGCAAGGCCAGATGTAGTGGCTTATACCTGTAATCCCAGCACTTTGGGAGGTTGAAGGGGGAGGATCACTGGAGGCCAGGAGTTTGAAACCAGCCTAGGCAACATAGTGAGACTCCATTTCTACAAAAAAGAAAAAAATTAGCCATGGTGGTACATTCCTATAGTCCCAGCTACTTAGGAGGTTGAGGCAGGAGGATTGCTTGAGCCCGGAATTTCAAGCCTGCAGTGAGCTATGATTGTGCCACGGCACTCCAGCCTAGGTGAAAGAGTGAGACTCTGACTCTAAAAAATAAAAAAAAAAAGAGAAACTAAAGCCTAAGAAAATAAGGAAATATATTCATGAATTGGAAAACAAGATACCAGTTTTCTCCCAACTGATCTATAAATTCAACCCAATTTCAATCAAAATCCAAGTAGAATTATTTATATAAATTAACAAACTGGGCCAGGCACTGTGGCTTCCACCTGTAATCCTAGCACTTTGGAGCCAAGATGGGAGAATCACTTGAGGCCAGAAGTTCAAGACTAGCATGGGCAACAGAGCAAAACCCTGTCTCTACAAAAAATAAAAAAAATTAGCTGGCCATGGATGTGCCTGTAGTCCTACCTACTTGGGAGGCCAAGGTGGGAGGATCACTTGAGCCCAAGAGTTCGAGGTTGCACTGAGCTATGATGATGCCACTGCCACTGTACTGTAACCCAGGCAATAGAGTGACACCTTGTCTCTAAAAAAAAAAAAACAAAAAAAAACTGATTCTAAAATTTCTATCAAAAGGCAAAGGAACTAAATAGCTAAAACAATTCTGAAAAAGTTGGGGTACCCACACTATCTGATTTCAAGACTTACAAAGCTGCAGTAATCAAGATAGTGTAGTGTTGGGGAGTAGACAAAGGAATTAAGTCTCAGGTTACACAATCAACATAGGCAAATCAGTAGCATTTCTGTACACCAATAACAAGCTAATAATCAAATCAAGAACTCAATCTCATTTACAATAGCTGCAAAAAATACACAATACCTGGGAATATATTTAGCTAAGGAGGTGAATGCTCTCTACAAGGAAAACTACAAAATGGAAGAAATCGTAGATGATACAAACAAATGGGAAAACATCCCATGCTTGTGGATTGAAAGAAATCAATATGGTTAAAACGACCATACTGCCCAAAGCAATCTACAGATTCAGTGCAATTCCTATCAAAATACCAATGTCATTTTTCACAGAATTAGAAAAAACAATCCTAAAATTCATATGGAACCAAAAAAGAGTCCAAATAGCCAAAGCAATCATAAGCAAAAAGAACAAATCTGGAGGCGTCAAATTACCTGACTATAAATTATACTACAAGGCTACAGTAACAAAAACAGCGTGGTATAAAAGACACATAAATCAATGGAAGAGAATAGAGAACCCAGAAATAAAGCCACATACCTACAATCAACTGATCTTTGACAAAGCAGACAAAAACATACACTGGAGAAAGGACACCCTTTTTAGTAAATGGGGCTGGGGATACAGTATTGTTTCTAAGAATAAGTGCATTCCTAGAAAAAGAGGACATCAGCCTGATTTATTCAGTGGATGAATAGTAATACGTACCTCTGGGGATTGGGTGAAGATAAGGAATCTAGGTATATTTTATATGAATTTTTTTGGAATAAGAATTTGTGTTTAAACTATTGTGTATGTACTGTGTAAATAACGGTGTATAAGATTGTTTTATATTGATATATAAATTTTATGTAAATAATAGAATGTACAATGTATATTATATGCATGTGCTATATATAAGTTATACAGTTATACCTTGTATAATATATACAGTATATAATGTATATATTACATACAACTAACAATGTATACAATGAACAATATGAAGAATATTCAAGTAAACGGGAAACTGTAGAGATAGCAGACCAGACTTTCAGGAAGGCAAAAGGGTAGAGAAGGGGTCAAAGGAAAGTTTTCTTAAGACGGGTAAGTTTTGTGAAGGTGCATATGCTGATAATAAAGAACAGTGGTGATTTTATTTACAACCTCAAAACAGTTTATTATTTCAAAGTAAAGAATAAAAAGTAACAAATGTTATGAGTAAAATATGTCTAGGATTTGCTTTAAAATAATCTGGGGGATGGGAAATGGATTGGGGCAACATCAAGTAAGACTGGCTGAAATTGTTTAGGTAGGTGATGGGCACATGAGGATTCATAATACTTTTTTCTCTATTTATGATGTTTGCAATTTCCTATACTGTATCTGAATTTGTTCAGTATGCTTTCTATAAGGAAACATGGATAATGAAGCAGCATATGAAAAAAATTTTAACCAGCAAACTACCAGACAATAGTGTGGTAAAAGACTTCTGGGGAAACTCAGTACTGAAGGCCACTGTAAAGAGATACAGTCTTTCTGGCATTCTGGCAACTTCTTTCTCAGTCATGGGTCCTCATCTGAGCCAATGCATAGAAAATAATTTGAGTAACTTTTCTCAATTCTCTCAAGGGTAATATTAATATATAACTATTACCATTCTAGATCTTACTAATTTATAACCTACAATGGATACCTTAGGAAATTAAGGCTTACTTCTCTAGCAAAATCCTGATTAAGAATGTCTACTAAAAATTGAGTAACACAGACTGAAAAAAGGGGCATAATATTATATAAAATTCATAACTTTGTTTTAAGACAGAGCCTTGCTCTGTGGCCCGGGCTGGATTGCAGTGGTGTCATCATAGCTCACTGTCACTTTAAACTCCTGGGCTCCAGTGATCCTCCTGCCTCAGCCTCTCGAGTAGCTGGACTACACGCATGTGCCACCACATCTGGCTAATGTTTCTATTTTTTTGTAGAGATGGGGTCTTGCTCTTGCTCAGGCTGATGTAAAATTCCTGGCCTCAAGCACTCTTCACACCCTGGCCCCAAAGTGCTAGGATTACAGGTGTGAGCCACTGCGTCCAGTCAAAATCATAGTTTTTTAAAAAGAAAAATGGACGTGCGTCTAAGTGACTAAATGTGGCATAGCAATGGGATGGTCTATAATTACAAAAAATCAGATTTGTGAACTTACACATTATAGAAACGTATATAGCAAAACGCCTATGGAGGAGCTTATTAGAAATACTCGGCCCTTACCCAAACTGTCGTCAGTCTCATATAGCATTACTTTTCTCCGTTAAGGGTGGTGGCCAAATTTTTCCAGGTAAACTGCTTAACTCATCTGAGATTTTTTGACTTAATACTGAGCTATGTGCATTAGCATTTTAAAGTTTTTATATTAGTATCTATTTTTTTCCCCCACCATAGAGACTGAGAGAAATTAACAGTATGATACGGACAGGAGAAACTCCAACTAAAAAGAGAGGGATTCTTTTGGAAGATGGAAGTGAATCACCTGCAAAAAGAATTTGCCCGGAAAATCATTCTGCCTTATTACGCCGCCTCCAAGATGTAGCTAATGACCGAGGTTCCCACTGAGGTTAGTCTCTTGTATTCAAACTGTTTTTCACAAACTGTCTAGCAGCATCACTTAATGCATCTTGATGATGGAGCTCTTTTCCTTAATCCAGCCAATTACAGCCTGTTAGTAATAGGAAGGGACATTGTTGTGAGAAATTGGACTCCTTCCAGTATCCATAGGATATCTTCATTCATCCCAACTGCTTTTTTCCCTGCCAATTCAGTGCTTACCATCAAGGCTGCTTAGAATCCAAACTTGTAAAAGCTTTGTCTGTCAGAGAGAGAAAAATCCAAGTACTACAGAGGACAAAGTGTTCTCAAATATAAGAGGTCTCTCTTGACATGCTCCAACAGAGGGACTATATTTCAAATTCATTCCTACCTGTTTTCTGGCCAGCTCTAGTCCTCATGAAAAGCAAAACAAAACACTTGGTAGGAGTGTGAGATTTCTGTATTCCTAAAACAGAACAAAGGAGAGCACACCCAGATTTGGAGGTCCCAGTCATTAGCCCAGGTCTCCTGTTCCTTTGTGCACTTCTTCCCTTTCCCCACTAGGTGTGACGCGGTGCTTGATTGTTCGGTTGTGCAATGTCTGAATGAACCTGTATAAGTGGTGGCACTTTAGGGCTGTAAAACGCATGATTTTGTAACCCAGATTTTGTTGTATATTTGTGATAGCACTTTCTACAATGTGAATTTTATTAAGTACAAAACTTCCAGGCTAAACATCCAATATTTTCTTTAATGCTTTTGTACTTTTTTTTAAACTGTTAAAGCCCCCATAGCCACCTTTTGGGCATGTTTTAAATTCTCCAGTTTTTTGTTGTTATATAGGTAGGAATCAGCTGGCTACGATTTCAGTCAAGTTGAATCGAGGGGATTAATATGAAAAATTATGGACCTCTTCCTTTAGGAGGTAGTTATCTAAAAGACGTGTCTATTAAGGTGATATATTTAAAAATATTTTTGGGTGTATTCCTGGCAGTTTAAAAAAATAGGTTGGAGGATTTAGGTTTTTATTAGTGCATAGTACCATTTATACAAATTAGAAGATGTTATTTAACAGCCATTGAAATATCTGTATACCTTTATTAATCACTATTGCTCCAGCAGTTTTTAAAGTTGAATTAATAATCTTATTAGGGAGAAAATTCAATTATAAATTGAATCAGTATAAATAAAGTTACTGGGTAACTTCATACTGCTCTGAAAGAAATATGGAACTTACACTGTTCAATTGGAATAGTGTTCTGCAAAAATATTTATAAAACCTCTCAAGCTACTTACTGCTACTGTAATTTTATATGAAGATAAGTGTATTTTTCAATAAAGCATTTATAAAGTAGTCTTTGTTTAGTTATATTGAGAAAAGGGTATTTAATTTCCTGTATAAATGACAAAGAACAATCATTTATCGGTTTATTTTGTCTCTACTAAACACATTAGTCATTCATCATTTAAATATCTGACTTCATTTAGAAACTGTTTTAACACTTTTTCTCCCTCCTGCCATAAAAATACAGTAAGTAATTTGCTTACAAAAAAAACTATGAGCAAGTGTTCTGGTTTCTTCTCACTTGACTAATATCTTTCTTGAGGATAACAGTTTATAAATCAGTAAAACAGCAGGCTGAAGACTGAGATGCAAACATCTTCCACTTAAAAGTGCTGAGTTATGGAACCTGCTCTCTCTTCTCCACTTCCTAACATATGTACAACTGAAACCACTGATTTAAAAACTATTAAATAGTGTTGAATTCTGTCTGCTCCGTTAGTTTAAATGAATGCAACTTACCTTTAGCATTATATTCAGAAAAATACTTAAGCCTCAAGGTCCCCAATAATTTGGAGTGCTGAACTAGATAACCACCCTAAGACACTTCTGACAGAAGTAATGCATTACTTAGAGGTTTCCAAAGCCCGCTGTTGGAACCTGTGCATACATGGAAAACACTGAGCGTCAGTCATTATTCACACAGTTTACTCTTCCGGCAGTCCTTTGCCGTTGGTCAGCTTTAGCCAGAGTCCAGCAGGACAGTGCACGGTGCACCAGATTCACCATCTCTTAAGTTGCTGCTGTTTTCTCTTCTTTACTGAAAGGTTGTACTGAGCCAGGCTTTACCCATGACAGGCCAGCAACATGAACGCTTTTATTGTGCTGTTCTTCAGGCTGCTTCTAGGCACAATCAAAAACAGACATTTAAAAAAATGATTGATGAGGAGATTTCACCACTGTACAAACTTGTTTCCCTAAGAGTTATTCTGTAATGAGCATTCTCCAATGAAGACGTTATAGAAAAGAAACAGTGAGTTAGCCATTCAAAATGGTTACCTACTTACTTTCTGAGTCAGCATCTTCTCTCTGGCTTCGTCATGTACAGAAGGATTCCATGGAGAAAAGCTTAAGGGAGAGAAAAATATTAAAAACTATTTTGGCTTACTAAATGAATATAACATGTTTTTCAATAATTAAGCCAATCTCCCTAACTTAACAAGGAATGGTACTTTTAAGGAGTAATCTTTAGATAATGTCTAAGATATACATGTTGACAACTGATTATTTGATTTTCTCACAATAACTATCCCATACATGTGGATGATCTCATTTAAGCCTCACCCCTAAAGTACTATTTAAAAATTAAGAAATCCACAGTAAAGCTAACAAGTACAAAAGTCAACCAGTCCATCTGCTGAGTCCAAGCTCTTAACAACTGTACCTCTCTGTCTCCCCAAGCAGCACCAATGTTGCCAAAGGACAAAATCACCAATTCTTGAGTTGTCAGTACTCCTCCCGACACTGGTCCCCAAGATCAAACATCACAGTGCTACCATAGCCTACCACTTCACACCATTCAGTTTCCCTCCTTTCACCAAATCTGAATGTTGATGGGGATACAGCAGTTTAAGAGGGGCTCCAGCTAAAACTGCCAACTGAAAAGTCCTGACATGTCAATAAATGAGCATTACAAAGATCCTTAGGGAAACCAAAGTCACAACAACTTGCAATCGGCACAGCATGCCAGATGTATAGCTTTTTGTTTAAGCAAAGAGGTATCGGAAACTGAGTTGACACCAAGTTATAAAGGATATAAGCTAACAGCTTATGCAGATGCCTTTTAATCCCCATTGTAAGACCACCTAGAAAATGGAAGGCGAGCACTGGAAAGGACGGTTCACGCAGAAGATGTACCACTTACCTAATTGCATAGGGGTCTTCTATTTTAGGTTGGTCAAACAAACGAGCAGTGCATGCCTTAACACTGTCAACCACTTTACTTTTAAAAAGCTGAATATCTTTTTCATACCTGTGTTAAAAGTTTAAATCAAAAGTTACCAACTTAATCTACTTAGCTGCATCTTCAAATTTATCTTAAATAACAAAGCAAAAGTAACATACAGCACTGCAGCCTCTGGGTTTAGGGGGCTTGCCGTATCAATCTTGTAGAAAACTCTCCTTGCATACATTAATACTTGCCAAATATGATTATGGTTCCGCCTAAAGGAAAACGGTATAATTAGTGGGGCTTCCTCCTACTGTATTATGTCACTAGAACAAACAGTTATTTACTTACCTCCACTTTGCAAATGCTCTCTTCACATCCAGTTCACCTGAGGTGGGATCAACTAGCGGGTGAAAGACGGGAATATCAAACACCAAGCGCTGTATTTAAAGAGAGACATAGCCTTTAATGGGAGCAGTGGAGATTAGACCCAGAGACACAGTAGTAAAAGGAGTTTTTGGACAAGGCAATCACATTTAAAGTCCAAAATCTGCCTCAAAAGGGATACTTAACTACTTTTACCATTTTCCTGTAAAACTAAATTTTGCAGTGAAGGGGAAAAAGTTATTCTCCACTATAGCACAATGATCACCATTCACGTAGTACATGCCGTCGTCCAGCCTCTGGCCTCACTCACGCACCCTGAGCAGAGAAACAAACCTAAAGCAAGGGACGGCATGCCCGAGCTGCAACGGAGCACAGAAATGCTCTTGGAAGACTATTGGGTAGACAAACATTTTGGGAAACTGAAATCATAAATGTATTAGGAAAAAACCCAAAGAAAGCTTTAAGCCCCGTAACTCCCCGCTGCTGACCCGCAAACGAAGCCAGACTCTGTCTCCAACTTACTGGACAGTCGCCATCTGGATAGTTATCAGGGATGTAAACTGTAAACTTAAAAACACCGTCTTGATAAAGTCCATGCCGTATAAATATCACTCCAAACCACACTGTAGGAAAAAATAAAAACGGGTAAGGCCTAAATTTGTGTGAGAGGAACCCAATATGCTATAAATTAAGAGTGAATCCTTGGCTTACTTAATGCAGAGCGGTAAGAAGGCTGCACATAGACGCCTGGTAATTTCTGCTTCACAACCAAGGTACTAAAACAAAAGCAGAATAATTGTATGGATATAAATGACACATATAGATCAAATCACCTCACATTCATTTTTGAGACAATGAATAGGTCCCTCAAGGTGCAGCTGACGCTCAAACCATACAAGCCGAGTTATCACAATCTCTTGCCTGACACAGCTCTGAGCAGCGGCCTCGACTGCTGCCTACTTACTGGCTTCGTGATAGAAGCTCACAGAGAAAGGTGCAAGCCAACAAAAAGCCCCGTATTAAGAAGCTAAAACCAAACGAGGATACACAAATAATCGAGTTTTCCTCCCAAACACCAGCTCTTCCAAAACGTCATCTTGGAAACCAGCTCGTAAATAATTCTGAACAATGCAACCTGAGGTAAGCCTCTGGACATTCAATTTGAGGTCAATGAGAGTATTTATAAAACTAATTCCTTTGTGACCAGAGATGATAGATCTTACGCACACACTGAAAAACTGCTTTTCAACACATTTTTAGGTAATTACAAATAAATGAAGATTCCATGGAATTGCTGTCTCTTAGTTGTCATTTTAAGCATGAATCACCAATGCTCTGGTTTCTCCTCAGATCATATAAATCTTTCACCATTTTAAGTCTGAGTCACCAGATCCCGCAGCAGAGGGCAGTGTTCAGTGTTGCTTGGTGAACCCAAGCATCAAAGTGAGGCGTTCGCACACACCCTGCTCTCAGAGAGACTCCCCAGTGCAGACACCTGAACTCTGTGGGGCTTGCTAGGGAGTGTGAAACTGAGTGCTAAAAACAAGGGAAGACAAGTCTACTGGCACAAAGGCCTCACTGAGTTTTCTGGGGCCTAGTTACCCCACCAAGAGCCATTCTGCCCTGTTCCTTGCAACTGCAGCTATGAGCCTAAAAAGACAGGCTGTGACCGGACCTTGAAACGAAATGTTTACCTAGGGCCTGAAAACACACTAACCTGCCAATCCTGAATTTTATCAAGAACTAGTTTATTGGGCCTTAGTTTATCATTTTTATTACCTATTTGCCATCATACTTAATCATTTTCTAATTTATCTATTCCATTTTTAAGTCACTGAAATTCAGCATGTCAATAGCAACATGGCTGCCAGATGTATCTACTATAGTGAGTTTTGTCAGAAAAGGCAATTCTGTGTTCTAACACAGACAGCAGATTTAATCACTACAATAGAAGCTTATCCAGCTCGCTGCCCATCTACAAACACAAGCCCTCCATTACAAAGCTAAAGGGACCACTGCTACCAAATCACACCCAGCCAATTACACTGAGGCCTCAGACCCTCTGACCATTACAACATTAGTATGCTGAGGGAGGGGTCAAGGATGCTTTTAAAATAATTTCATATACAAAGGAATTTTAAAATGATAGAAATTTGGAGAATTCTCCAAATTTCTGTCCTTTTAATAAATTAACATATCAAATACCATCTGACTCTGTGCTATTTGAGCCCAGCTCCTACGTGTGTGCCAGAGGCTGTGTCATCACCACCATCTCTGCTCAAGTGCGTAGCTCCTTGCACTCCACAGGTAGGTGCAACCTCAGTCTAACTGTAGACGTCTGTGATTAGGCAGGTTCTTACTCACGTGGAACCCAAATTTTTGTAACTTCCCTATAATCGCCAAGTCCTGCCTTTGGGGTCATACGGAGTAAGTCAACTCCCTTCTAATGACAGCCCTTCAAATATATGAAGACAGCTTTACTAAGTACTTAGGAGTTCTCTTCTCCAAGATGGCATTCCAGTTCTTCCAACTATTGAGCTCCTGACCTCTCCCTACTAGGATTCTCTTCCTACAGAGTGATAACCAAAACGGAGCACAATCATCCAGATGTGTTTGTAGATAGGCAGTGAGTTGTCTGACCCCAGAAACAACAGATTGCCACCCTCCCACTGGTCCACCCTCTAAAACCTGTTTATGAGGCGAATGCCTCACTTCATATAAAAGAAGACCAAATTTTAAGTTAGTAAATTCCTGGTCTGCTGCAGGTTCTTAACAAATCTTAGTTTCTCCATCATTGTATTCTCCAGAATAGACATGGAAATTAAAGCACACATCTGCCTTTAAACCTTATTTACCCAAGCTCCAAATAAGAATCATATTTGAGAGAGGATATTTATATAACATTACCTACATCTTGGTTAAAAAAGTTTTTTTGTTTGTTTGTTTTTTTTGTTTTTTTTGAGACGGAGTCTCACTCTGATGCCCAGGCTACACTATAGTGGCGTCCTCATAGATAGCTCACTGTAACCTCAAACTCCTCGGCTCAAGCAATCCTCCTGCCTCAGCCTCCCGCGTAGCTGGGACTACAGGCGCATGCCACAATGCACGGTTAACTTTTCTGTAGAGATGGGGTCTCGTTCTTGCTCAGGCTGGTCTTGAACTCTTGGCCTCAAGCAGTCTTCCCACCCCGGCCTCCCAAAGTGCTAGGATTACAGGTGTAAGCAACCGCGCCCAGCCAAGAAAGATTTTATCACCAGCAGTAACCTCCATATATTTGTTGAGGCTGATATTGGAGCGGGATGGTTTTGACCTTTAAGATTAAATGACTGAATCCAGCCGAATAAATTTGATTCTTCACCTTCCAGGATCATTCATAATGTAATCAAATAGTTTAAGAACTTACAATTCTGCAAGAAGAGAGTATTCCAGGTAGAAGGGTCCGTAGGAAGCATGCGTGCCATTTGTTGACTGTGCTGCTGGGGCAGGAGACGTAGGCTTAGTTATGGGCAAAGCATTTTTGGGAATAGAAGGCAGCTGTTTCTTCGGAGCAGTTCGTGGAGGACTGGTTTTCACGTCCCCTGTCAATGTCTTCTCTTCACCATCAGATCGCTATTCAAGACGGAGTTGTGAGAATATTTGTTATGATGATTCTTAAATCACAAGAGTACAGTATTAGCTCCAGGATGTAAAAGCTGGAGTTACGCTTTTACAAAGACATTCCAACCCTATGATGGAGATGATCTGAAAGTCCTTTGAGCAGGCTGGTCATATGAAGAGCAAACAAAGCTGAAGCAAGACTAAAGCATTAGGGAAACCCTTTAATTAGGTGCACCCTATAAGGACAATACAGTCAATATTCATAGGATTAACTGAAACAGAAAGCAATGGTTTCTCCTAGTGGCTCCCAAAAGAGGACAAGGGGTAGTAAGCAATTAGACAACTACATAAGACTAAAACAATTCCCTTGCACTTAGATGCTATAAAAGTCAGGTGCTAAGAAGCTCAAAAAAAAACACATATAGATGACAAATTAGTCATGACCTGATGTTAGCACTTGAGTTAGAAACAGAATGAAGCTATTCTCTTGCATCTGATTTTGATCTTGTCCCTAATGGATATGTTTCCACATTTGAAATATCACCAGCATAAACTGTCATCCTTAGTCAAAGACGAAGGTTGACATGAGTCAGATTAAACTACCATCTCGTAGGTACTTCTTTGGCTTAAGTACAATCAAAGGCTGTTTAATTAGTTATATTAAAAAATGTTGGCCGGGTGCGGTGGCTCACACCTGTAATCCTAGCACTCTGGGAGGCCGAGGCGGGTGGATCGCTCAAGGTCAGGAGTTCGAGACCAGCCTGAGCAAGA